ATACTAGGTGCATATGATTTTAGATGATTTTTCCTAACTCATGAAAAGAAGAAGTATAGTAAGAAAGACTTCAAGAAACTTGATTTGTTTTCAGTCTTAGGTAATGCAATGTTCCATACACATCAGAGATTCATGACTGCCTATGTTTTATCTCACTCTCTTAAGTGTGTGTCTCATATTTCTAGTGATACCAGAATGCTGCTGGAGCTCCAGCCATCAATTTTAAATTCCAGGCAGCAGAAATAAGGGATAGGAAGGATATCTGCTTTTAAGGAGCATAAGCTATCTGTGTTTTATTTCGTTGGTCAGAATAAACCCACAGGGTGAAATGAGAGACTGGAAAATATAGTGTTTTATTGGGCATTTTATTGCATCCCATGATTGGGATCTATTACTAAGAATAGGAAAATCAATGTGTACAGCTCCTGGTCTCTATCTAATTATACAGTGAAAATTAATTTTTTTCCAGATAACATCAAAAGCAGCTGTAATTTTTAGACCTGAGGTTAAGGTTATTAATTTGAGTTTTTTAAATGTTATTTTATTGTGGTAGTAACTCTTAATAATTATATCTGCCCTCTTAACAAATTTTTAAGTCTATCATATACTACTGTTGACAATAGGTACAGTGTTTACAGAAGATCTCTAGAGCTTAAAGATTATAATAGCAATAATAGAATAGACTTGCAGACAAGAAGTTACCAGATTTTAAACTAGAAGACAAAAGTCAAAGGCTCAAACTTAAGGAAAATGGAAGATAATTTTAACTTTATAATTTTAATGTTATTACTATTAGCACTAAGCATATCCTTAGGTTGCATTATGTTAACTGGCTTACTAGTCTATAAATATTTTTCTTTTTAAAGTCATTTTAAAATCAGTTGATGCAAATTCAATTTTTATACTGACTCAAAAATTTTCAAAGCCTTGGTGTAGGATCGGTAGCTGGTAGTTTGTCCAAGGTGGAAATTATTTCTCATTCTTCTTGACATATCCAGAATCTATGAGTGCCTGAGTGCCTGGTCCATAAATTAGGTGCCCATTAAATTCAAGTTGAAGAGAAAATGTTTGAAAAAAAGTGGTCTTACCAAAAATGTACATGCACAAAAACATTTTTGTTTTTTTCTGAGAAAAGTGAATACTGTAAAAGTAACAAGCGTAACGAGGATAGAAAGGACAGTCATTAGAGGTGTTAGTGCCTTTTTTTTATATAAGTATAAAATGTGTATGTTTAAGATGTAGAATGATGATTTGATAGATGTACACATTGTAAAAAGATCATAATCAAGCCACTTATTTATGATCTCTACATAGTTACTTTTTAAAAATATGTGTATGTATGTGGAAAAGATTTTTGATCCTTTTAGAAAAGTTCATATTTACAATTTAGTATGAACACTGGTCAGCATGCCCTTAAGTTGGATTCCCAGAACTCACTGATCCTGTGTAACTGAAACTTTATTTGATGCGAGCAGCATCTCCCCATTTCCTGCCAGCAAACACATTATGCTCTCGGCTTCAATGAGTCTCTTTTAGATCCCGGGTGTAAGTGAGCTGGCATCATCTTTATCCTCTGGGGCTTAGCAGAGTGAGCTCTGGGTTTCGCCATCTTCTTCCAAATGACAGGATTCCCCTCTTTCTAAGCTGGAATAATGAAGTGCAGATACATCTTTGAGATCCAACTATAATTTCATTTAGAAATACACTTGACCCTTGAATAATGCATATCTTAGGGGCACCCACCCTCCCTCTAGTCGAAAATCCACATGAAATTCATAATCTGGATCTCCTAATAGGCACGTGATTCCCGCTGATTCAGGTTCCCCATCTGTGGATGCAACTGACCACAGACCTGATAGCCCTGAAGTATTTACTACTGAAAAAATAATCCATGGGTAAGCTCAGTTCAGTCACTCAGTCATCTCTGATTCTTTGCAACCCCATGGACTGCAGCAGGCCAGGCCTCCCTGTCCATCACCAACTCACAAAGTTTACTCAAACTCATGTCCATTGAGTCGGTGATGCCATCTAACCATCTCATTCTTTGTCGTCCCCATTCCCTTCTCCTCCCACCTTCAATCTTTTCCAGCATCAGGGTCTTTTCAAATGAGTCAGCTCTTTCCATCAGGTGGCCAAAGTATTGGAGTCTCAGCTTCACCATCAGTCCTTCCAATGAATATTCGGGACTGATTTCCTTTATGATGGACTGCATGGATACCCTTGTAGTTCAAGGGACTCTCTAGAGTCTTCTCCAACAACACAGTTCAAAAGCATCAATTCTTCAGCACTCAGCTTTCTTTATAGTCCAACTCTTACATCCATATATGACTATTGGAAAAACCAAAGCTTTGACTAGATGGACATTTGTTGGCAAAGTAATAGCTCTGCTTTTTAATATGCTGGCTAGGTTGGTCATAACTTTTCTTCCAAGGAGCAAGTGCCTTAATTTCATGGCTGCAGTCATCATCTGCAGTAATTTTGGAGCCCCCCTCACTAAAAAAAAGAAACAAATCTGCCACTGTTTCCACTGTTTCCCCATCTATTTGCCATGAAGTGATGGGACCAAATATCATGATCTTAGTTTTCTGAATGTCTTTTTTTGTGTGTGTGTGTGAATGTCTTTAAACTGACAGATAACTCAAAAAGCACATTTTTATACATTTTTGAGTACAGTTGTCAAAATATATATAAACACATTGGGCAAACACTGTGTATATCAATAGTTTGAGTTTTTATATGACAAATGGAGTTGTTTAATGTTTGCACATAGGTAGTTAAGATCACAGTAGGAATCACTGTTTTCTTCATTTACTACTGCAGGAGGCAAACAATCAATTGTAAAAGCAATTATCCAAATTAATCTCCATGCATAGTTTCTATAACAATGTATAAAATGCTTGTGCTTTGTTCCTATCATATTTATCTTGAATATATTTACTCTAATGTGTTTTTCTTTCTTGTTTCTAATAAAAATAGATTTTGCATTTTATATGTCTTCATTGCTTACATTTTTCTAGTGCTGTATACCTGTTGCATTTTACAAAATTATTTTTCCACATTAAATTGTGCAGGAGGAATCCATGGTGAGATTCTAGATACTTTGCCAAGTACTGAGCTTCATGAAAATTTCAGAAGACAAATAGAATATCTTTTAAAATATAGTAAGGTATTTGGAGTGGTATTAGTATGTAGAAACTTAAACAGTGACTTAATCAATATTTTAACAAAAGACAAAAGTATGAAGTTCAAGTGTTGAATTTCTGTCATTGAGTGAATAGTGAGGCACTCAATTTTCTGGGAAATGAAGAAGACACAAGTTTGGAAAAGGCAGGATGAGCTAGCAACATAGTTTAAGTATTTCAAATGTTTGATAGGTCTCTTCTGTATTTACATCATAGTTAAAATTTTCAGAGATACCTGAAAAATCATGGCACCCTTTCCTCCCCCAGTTTGCATGACACGGGGTTATAAAATGTCACTTAGCCTCAAGTGTTTCATGAGGTATCAACATATAATTTCTTTCTGTTTCTCATACTCCACTGCCTCCCAGCAGTCCTGTGTATACTTTTAAAGATTTAGCCTGAAGATAAATTTGAATGACATTGCCTTTAGAATCAGTACTATCTTGAAAAATACAAAATGCTCTTTTGGAGATCAAAATGTATTTTATGAACACAGGTTTCTAATAAGATGAGAGTTTGCAATGAGTACTCACATGTCTGAACTTCATCTGTGAAGTGTAATTTCTAGCATGATATTTCAAATTATATGTACTTGGAGTGATGAATAACCAACAAATTAACAGGCAAATAAACATAGCTATTAGCATATTTAAGAAATGAAACATACTATGCTATCAGATTTTACAGGGATAGTTCTGACACCTTTGACTAAGTAAATCAATATATCTTATTATTTGTTCAATTTTCATGATGGCTTATGACTGTCATCTGTCACACTGTTCAGATATTTTGCACTTATTTGTATTCTCACTATACTGCCTATCCCTGTATTTATTCCTTTTTAGTAACTAGCATTCAGCCTGACAAAGATTAGGGGCTAAATAAATAAAAGTAAATGAAAGATGGACTTTATTAAACATACAGTCTGACCAGAGCAAAATCCTTATTAATTCCTGAGCTCCATTTGCTTGTCAGTAGCCTTCTTCCTAGGGACACTAAAAAGATTTGAAATGCTGGTAGTTATTATCTTTAGGCACGGCTGTTCGGTGATTTTGTTATGAAAAGAAATTTAATTTTCTTCTCATGCAAAAGTGAAGTAACTAGCCCACTCTTAGAATGCATTTTGAATTTCCTAGAAGAAAATGCACTTTGAAATGCTCATTTCTTCTTTCTAAAGTTATTTGAACTATGGCAGAGAAGGTTTCTCTTGCAAAGAAGTCTCTTAACCATTCTACTCCAATAATTCTAGTAACCCAGTTCTCTAAAATAATCTTCGCTGACCTCATTCCGTGCCACTAACCTGGGAACATCTGCTTTCCAGCAAATATCTGCATTTCAGAGAACAGTGAGGCTTATCACTGTGATTTCTTTTCCTCCCTGTGAAACTAAGCAAAAGCATTTTTCATTCGAAATGTTATAAATAATTTTGTCTAACTAGGCTTCCCCTGGTGACTCAGACAGTAAAGAATACGCCCGCATTGCGGGAGACCTGGGTTCAATCCCTGGGTTGGGAAGATCCACTGGAGAAGGAGAAGGATCCAGTGTTCTGACCTGGAGAATTCCATCGACAGTCCATGGCATAGCAGAGTTGAACACGAGTGTGCGACTTTCACTTTCATATTGTTTTAGCGCTTTCATACAAAACTCTATCTGAGAGCATTTAACACTTTTTGAAGCCAGGAGCTCTGTCTCCCTGGCCAGCCTCCCTCCTGTCCCACGCGGCGGGGCAGCGATGGACTCAACTCAGGAGAGCGTCCGAGGACCGAGAGGTCCCGGCGGCGGCCGTGGCCTGGAGACGCCGCAGCCCGAGGCCCGGGCCTAGGAGCGCGGTGTGTGCCCGGGAGCGCCCGGAGCGGCGGAGGCGGCCTGTGGCCTAAGGGCGGAGCGCGGCGGCCGGGCCGGGTCGGGTGGCGCGGCTCCTTGGGGGCCCCGGGGTGCGGCTTTCGGGGACAGGGGGCCGCGAGGGCGCGTCCGGGAGCTCAGGGGGCTACGGGGTCGAAGGGCTGCGGTGTCCGTCCCGGGCTCCGGCCGCGGCTGAGTTTGGGGGAGAGCGAGCCTGCACCCTGGGAGGCGGCGGGGTGGAGACGGGGGCATTTTGATTACTAATTTTCTCTCAGGTTGAGGAGACAAGACCTGGAAAAAAAATGGTGTTTTGGATTTGAGGATCTGGAATATCCTATAATTCTTCATGTGCGTTAACTCGTTGGGCCTTAATGCCCGAAGATGAGTCTCTCTCATAGCGTTTAACTGTTAATTATGGTTTTATCTTGATAAACTTAAATTTCTTCTCTCTCTGTAGGTAGATGTGTCGATGTTACTTTTAACGTTCCTGGCCGGGATGTCATTCTGAGAAAACGCCTGTTTGCCTCAGCTGAACTTAGTCTCCCATCGTTTCCTCTGGTCTGAGTTTTGATCTGCTTCAGTGCCCCTTCTGACCTTCTTTTGTCCTGATGGTGAGAGCAGGGCTCCCAGCTCTTCGCGATTTCCATTCCAGGCTCTCTGTTGAGATCCCTGCTCTGTTCCTGCCAGGTGGAGGTAGTGTCTGGGCTCTCCACGCAGTCTCTGTTGACAGCCCATGGTGGGCGGGACCCCTCCTTACCATGGTGGGAGTGCGGGTTCCAGCTCCCCATTTTCTTATTAATAAGGTTTGCAAAATGCTTATTCATCCATAACCCTGGCCACCCACCAGGGGATGCACCTTCAGTTGGCAAATTTAAAAACTACATACTCTTTTACTCTCAAGCAGGTAAAAGCCTGGCACATCAGAAATGGAAATGTGCATTTTTAAAATATTTATAAATGGTTGAAATGTGTACTAAAATTGTATGCATGATTATACTGCAAAACTGCAAATATGTTCCTTAATGTTTAGTTAAAAATCAGCTGGGGAGCTTATATCACAAAAGAATAAAGGTGAATAAATATGATAGGGTATAATTTAAAATTATAGCGTGATTCATTATAGTCTATTCATATTAAAAATGTCCATAAAATATATTTACATTTAACACATACTGAAAACCTATGATGATATTAAAGATTCGATTCATTATTCAACATTTCATTTAAGAATATATTAATATAAATTTTGATGATTTAAGAAAATATAATCTTGATAAGGATTGTAAAGAACAATTTACTAATAAAAATGAAAATAAACATAACAATCAAGGGTCAGAATTAGAAATGATGTTACTGAAGTCCAGATATGTGTGTTGAAAAAACACCTTTCCCATTTCTTAAACTTGTAAGAAGTAGACATTGTCACTAAAAGCCATGAAAATAGCTTAGCTCCTTAACCAGGATCTATGTTTCACTAGATATTAGTTATGATCATGGAAAACACATTTTCTAATTCAATAATTTAGAAGCTATTGGTCTCTTTACCACAAGTGTGATGGCAAGTGGAAATTTTGACTGAAAGTACCAATACGTTGCTCTTAAGTCTGCACTTAAACTTAAGACCTGGAAACAGTTCAACCTCGCTTCAGTTTATGCCATCTCCCTTCCTTCCCATTCCAATCACAAGGCAGTTTCACAGTCTAAGGGAGGATTAATATTGGTGTCAGTAGATAAATAATTATGATATAAGAAATAGTGAATTAATGTGTTCTACTTATATACTTCCTCACTTCAAATTATGTTTCATTCAACCCCTGGCTTCAAGTACACTGGTGGTTCATGGACAAGGATTTTGAAGAAACAAAATGTGATGGCTTTAAAGGACTAAGCTTGCAAACTACAAATAGTAATTTTTTCTTCCATACAATTCTTCAGTTAATTAAGTCCTAGATAAGAGGTTGGACTGAAAAAAACTCATCATAAGGGAAATTATGCCACATTGTAACCCAAAGAAGATGGGGAATGAATGAAAAAGTATATACATTCAATTTCTTCATCTTAGATTGGGCTTTGCTAGTGGCTCAGACAATAAAGAATCTGCCTGCAATGTGGGAGACCCATGTCCCATCCCTGGGTTGGATAGATCCCCTGGAAAAAGGAATGGCTACCCACTCCAGTATTCTTCCCTGGAGAAGTCCATGGATGGAAGAGCCCGATGGGCTGCAGTCCATGGGGTTTGGAAAGACTTGGACACCACAGAGTGATTATGAATAAATGTAAAAAGTCTAAACTGGATGGGACAAGACCTAGAGTTTAGTTGCTCAGTGGTGTCCTACTCTTTGAGACCTCATGGACTGCAGCACACAAGGCTTTCCTATCCATCACCAACTCCCAGAGCTTGCTCAAACCCATGCCCAATGCCTGGGTGATGCCATCCAACCACCTCATCCTCTGTCCACACTTTCTGCCTTCAATCTGTCCCAGCATCAGGGTATTTTCCAGTGAGTCAGTTCTTCGCATCAGGTGGCCAAAGTATTGGAGCTGCAGCTTCAGCATCAGTCCTTCCAATGAATATTCAGAGTTGATTGACTGGTTTGATCTCGCTGTTCAAGGGACTCTCAAGGGTCTTCTCCAACAACACAGTTCAAAAGCATCAATTTGTTGGTGCTCAGCCTTCTTTAAGGTTGAACTCTCACATCCACACATGACTACTGGAAAACCATAGCCTTCACTTTATGGACCGTGTCTGGTAAAGTGATGTCTCTGCTTTTTAATACACTGTCGAGGTTCGTCATAGCTGTTCTTTCAAAGAGAAAGTATCTTAATTTCATGGCTGCAGTCACTGTCTGCAGTCATTTTGGAGCCCTCCAAAATAAAGTCTCATTGTTTCCATTGTTTCTCCATCTGTTTGTTATGGAGTGATGAGACTGGATGCCATTCAGTTCAGTTCAGTTTAGTCACTCAGTCATGTCCAACTCTTTGCTACCCCATGGACTGCAGCACACCAGGCCTCCCTGTCCATCACCAACTCCCAGAGTTTACTCAAACTCATGCTCATTGAGTCAGTGATGCCATCCAACCATCTCATCCTCAGTCCATTCCTTTTCCTCCCGCCCTCAATCTTTCCCAGCATCAGGGTCTTTTCAAATGAGTCAGCTCTTTCCATCAGGTGGCCAAAGTACTGGAGTCTCAGCTTCACCATCAGTCCTTCCAATGAATATTCGGGACTGATTTCCTTTATGATGGGCTGCTTGGATCTCCTTGCAGTCCAAGGGACTCTCAAGAGTCTTCTCCAACAACACAGTTCAAAAGCATCAATTCTTCGGCGCTCAGCTTTCCTCATAGTCCAGTTCTCACATCCATACATGACCACTGGAAAAACCATAGCCTTGACTAGATGGACCTTTGTTGGCAAAGTAATATCTCTGCTTTTTAATATGCTGTCTAGGTTGGTCATTATCATAATAATTTCAGATGCCATTATCTTAATTTTTTGAATGCTGAGTTTTAAGCTGGTATTTTTGTTTGTTTGTTTTACTCTCCTCTTTCACCTTTAGTTCTTTTTTGCTTTTTGCCATAACAGAGGTGCTGCAGTAGAAATTACTAGGCATTCAGTATACAACTCTGAAACCTCAGTTTTGTTTTCAGTAAACATCCTGGTCCATTGTCCTGAATTCCTGGCATGTGTCTTTAGTCTGATAAATTATCAGCACTTAGATCCAGAGAAGAGAGCAGCAATTAAACTCTGTTCCATGTGCTTGAGGGAAAAACAACTGGTGGTCATTAATCTTAAATCCATGCATTTGGCCCATGGTAAAATGGACAGAGGGCATGCAAAAGGGGGGTGACTTAATACAAGGATCAAAAGAAGTAATAAAGATGATGTTAAGTATCTTGACCTTTAAATTGAATGATTAGAAATAATGTGATTTAAAGGAAGGGTATCAAAACCACCTTGGGGTGACTCTTTACCCCCTCTCTATGCTGAGAACTCTGCATTTTCCTCCTCTTTAATAAATGTTATTTACTTACTACCATGAGTGTTTGCATGTTCATGGATTCCATTTTTGCCTGCGTGGACAAGAACTCAGATTCCTGTCTCATCTTTTGGGGGCTCGTCTGGAAATCCTGAATACCTACTCAAGGTAAGCACAGACACTCACTCTCAACTCTGTCATTCACTTCTCATTACCTAATCTAGCTGTGTGCTCTCTTGAGCCACTCTGTTTCACAAGCCTGCATGAGTCCCAAAGGCAGACAGAGTCAGTAGACAGTGGCCTTAGGTCTCGGTATTAGCCAGAAGATTGGCGGGGATGCTGAGCAAAATCTCTGCTAAGCTGCTGCCTCAGTGAGAACCACAGGACATCTACCATTTCTCTTTCCTAACATTTAGAGGTTATGAGATTTTTCACTTAAGGTAGGATCATTTTGGAGTGTGTGTAAATACTACTAACGTTGTTTACTACATAGCTTGCTTTAGGGGAACTCCAGTTCAGGCACACCCAATGTTCAAGAGCACAGCGAGTCCACCAACCTAGGCTCTCACTCTAGGAAGATAAGAGATAGGAAGAGGACAACAGTCAAGGGTAACCGGATAATGATGATGAAGACCAGGTACACTCCAAAGTTGAGGGAAGCATACTTTATTGGTGTTTCTTTGCTCCCACTGTGCAAGGTGGGGACACCCTCTATTAGAAGAATCGGAGAAAAGACAAAGAGCACTGGGCGCTGGTCTTCTGTCTTTCAGATGGGAGCAACCTCTTCATGCCCTACACCCAGCTCAAAGCGGATGCCTTTGGCAAGTATACTGAAGAACTAGAAGTTTAACCCTTAGACTGTGGTAAAGAAGAGTATGATCTTTTTCTGCACCAAGGCATAGCCTCAATAGGATCTATCTGATGGTGAAAAACGGCCCGCTGAGGGCTCATTTGGTTATAATACTATCCTCCAACTAGACCTATTTCATAGACAAGAAGGAAAATGGTCAGAAGTGCAATATATACAGGTTTTTGTCTTGAGAGAGAAAACCCTCTAATCCAGGAGTTGTGGGCTTGCTACTTCCATGCTGCCTATAACTTCCTCCAAGTCCTCAGGTCCAAACTGTCGCCCTTAACCAGAGCTGCTTAAACCTAGCCCACAAGAGCTTCCACAATCTCTGGTAATGCCTTGGGCACCAGCAGCAGCTCCTACCCCAGTGTCTCCTAACCCAACACTGGTGATCTCTAGGCTATATCCTTCCCTCCTTCCATTACAAGAAGCTCCTAATGGGGACTTGGGAGCCACAGGAGTCTATGTTCCTTTCCCCCTCTGAGATTTAATGCAAATTAAATTAGACCTAGAAAGCTTTACTGAAGATCCTGACAATTACATAAGTGTTTTCCAGGGTCTAAACCAATCTTTGAAATGGCATGAAAGATATTATGCTAATCCTGACTAGCACCCTTACTGACAATGAAATAAGTCATAATTAAAAATGCCCAGGGATGGGGAGATGAATGGTATGCTACTAACATGCAGGGGAGACCTGACAGTGAATCAGCCTGGTTACCTACAGGGCTCCAGGCAGTGCCCATAGCCGATCCTAATTGGGCACATGACAAAGGCAGTGATGACTGGAAGAGAGTTCACTTGATCACTTGCATTAAGGAAGGCTTAACAAAATCACGAGCTAAGTAAGCCCTTAGACTACTCCAAACTATCTGGAATGACTCGTGGAAAAGGAGGAAATTCACACAGCTTTTCTGGAAAGGCTCGGGGAAACACTGAGAAAGCACACTTACTTGGACCTAGATGCTCCACACTTATCCTGAAAGACAAGTTTATTACTCAAGTCAGCTCCAGGTATACAGAGGAAACTCCCAAAACTGGCCTTTGGCCCCCATATAGATTTAGAGAGCCTCCTTGAAGGAAAGTAATACTGCTCAAAATAGCCTGGAGTTAAAACTCCCCTCCAGGTCCTCCCCACCATTCTATGCAAAACAAAGAACTCTGACCCGAAGAAAAAAATGGGCATTAAGGTTGATCATGCCCAGCTCCCAGCTGGTCCCAGCTGGTCTCCAGAATTCCTTACCCCAGCCGTTTAGGAAATAACTATTCCAAACACTTCCCTGGCTTCCCTGTGGCTCAGATAGTACAGCATCTGCCAACAATGCAGGAGACCCGGGACCAATCTGTGAGTTGAGAAGATCTCCTGGAGAAGGAAATGGCAACCCACTCCAGTATTCTTGCCTGGAAAATCCCATGGGCGGAGGAGCCTGGTAGGGCTACAGTCCATGCGGTCACAAAGAGTTCGACATGACTGAGCAACTTCATTCACTCTAGACAACCTTAGAGAAGAACAGGCCCCCTTAACAGTAGATATCCACATATATGCCTATGTATACTTACCCTTTCCTTGGGTTAGTGCAGCAGCTCACTAATCTGACTGCTTCCCCTTCTTGCCTCACTAAAGGTGAATTTGTTCTGTAAAGTGCCGGTCTCCTTCTTTTTCTGAACCTCACCTCCTCTAACTCCCTTACCCTACACTGGTAAGAGCTGCCACATCAGTATTCTTAAATTGTAATCAGGATGAACCTAAGGAAAAAGAGAATAGCAATAAGAGAAAGGCCAAAGCTCCCATTATGGCCCTACAGGGAGTTAACTTTAGGGCTACAAAGGTGGGAGGACACAAGCAAAAACCTGGAGTCTGTTTCTGTTATGGCAAGGATGGAAACTTTGAGGGACAATGCCCCAAAGGCAAGCAGAGGCCACCCCCATGGCCTTGCCCCACTTGCAAGTGAGATCACTGGAAGAGTAACATCCCCAGGGATGCAGGTTTCAGGGGTCAGAAACTCAGATCCAAGATCAAGATTGACAGGGCCTAGGGCTTCCCATTTTGGCCCCTGTCCTCAGCACCACACAGGAGCCCCAGGGGACTCTAACTGGAGGAAGCCATCCTGTTAAATTCCTACTTGATACAGGAACCACTTTCTCAACCCTCCTGTGTAATCCAGGTTCTCCTTCTACTAACTCAGCTACTAAATATGGCATTTCTGGAAAGCCATTACAAAATTCTTTACACAACAGTTGAGTTGTGAGTAGGATTCTATTATTTTTCATGTGTATATGTGCATGTGCTCAGTCGCATCCGCCTCTCTGACTACGACCCCATGAACTGCAGCCCACCAGCCTCCTCTGTCCAAGGGATTTTCCAGTCAAGAGTACATGAGGGGGTTGCCATTTCCTCCTCCAAAGGATCTCCCCCAATCAGGGATCGAAGTTGCATATTTTGCAACTGCCTGCTTTAGCAAGCTGATTCTTCACTACTTCACCACTGGGAATCCCAAGTGAGCACAGGGCGCCTGGCGTGCTGGGCGTGGGGTGAAGAGCGGTGGCAGTGAAACCCCACGAGGTGAGGAAGGGGGACGGCGATCACCCCGGGCTAGCTGACCCACTCCACCCGCGGTGAGGCAGAACAATCCCCCATGCTCCGTCCACGAGGGATGCAGTGGTTCTGCCCCGAAGTTCTGATGGGGAGACCCTCGTAGAGGGCCCGGCGGGCTCAGACGTGGGGCCAAGGACATCAGCCGGGCTCACCTGGGACAGCAGTGGCACCCTCGCTTCCACCCCCGCCCCCCAAGGGGGCGGGCGGTACAGGCATGGCAGCCAGCCGGGGATTGCGCGCTCAGGCGAACGCACTTCAGTGCGAGAATGCCGGGGGCATGTGTGCTCCTCCTGGTCCAGCACGTGACGTCGGTGGACAGAAGATGGCAAAGGGCAACGGAGCAGGGCCAAGGTTGGCCCGGCGAAGCGAGACACACCAGGGCGCAGCCCTGGGGATCAGCAGACAGGACGGAGGAATCACTGACAGAGCACAGCCATGTAGGCCCATGTGCCAAAGACGCGGCAGTGGCACAGACCGGTGGCGGAGGTGGTGTGGCCGCGAGCGATAGCGAGCGGCCCGGAAGCCATTCCAAATGATCCAGAACTGCTTCCGGGTCACACCATGGGACTCTCACCGCCAGAAGCCTCCAGCATAGGAGCGGTCCCCTGGGCCCCAGAATGGATACTTCCCTTCCTGAGCCCATGGGGCCCCCATGTTGGGGCTTGCACCCACCACCGCCAACACCCAGAGCCCCAACAACTGGTCAGGGAGAACGTTCTCCCGCTGCATACCGGCGCTTCCACAGCCCTCACGCGCAACTTGCTGTGCCCAGCTTCACCCCTCGGGGATCGAGGGCATTTCTCTGCCCGGGACGCCACCAGCCACGGAGGCCAGGGAATGACACCCACATGAGGTGAGGACGGTTAGGTCCTAAACAGGGGAAGGGGGCACTGGGCGGTCACCTGTGTGGGGCAGGCTAGGAGGAGGGAAAGCCGGCAGTGACAGGGAAAGGCAGCAAGCCCGCACAGGGAGGGCGGGGGGACAGGGGCACGTGCGCCGTCTGGTGATCAGAAAGACCGAGTCACGACCGGCCACCAGGAAAACGAGGGTGCCACCACCACACACACGAGGCTGGTCCCGTGATGCCTGGGACTCCGGCCAGCCTCCGCCACCCTCAGAGTCTCCCATGACCTAGCTTCGCCACCAGGCCAGCGGGCCACAGGCCACCTTGTGTAGCTGAGGGGCCCCCTCCACCCATCTCATCCATTCATCTGCAGCAAAACCCCCGTCCTAGGAAGCAATATTCTATCTAAAGTGTAGGCTTCACATGGAAAAAAGTTATGCTTACCTTTGACAGAAGTAGAAGTTAACCCTGAAGTCCGGGCAACTGGATGAAAGATAGGAGCCATCTCAGCTCAACCGGTACAGTTCAGTTCAGTCGCTCAGTTGTGTCCGACTCCTTGTGACCCCATGAATCACAGCACGCCAGGCCTCCCTGTCCATCACCAACTCCTGGAGTTTACTCAAAGTCATGTCCATCCAGTCGGTGATGCCACCCAGCCATCTCATCCTCTGTCGTCCCCTTCTCCTCCTGCCCCCAATCCCTCCCAGCATCAGGGTCTTTTCCAATGAGTCAACTCTTCGCATGAAGTGGCCAAAGGATTGGAGTTTCAGCTTCAACATCAGCCTTTCTAATGAACACCCAGGACTGATCTCCTTTGATGGACTTGTTGAAACTCCTTGCAGTCCAAGGGACTCCCAAGAGTCTTCTCCAACACCACAGTTGGAAAGCATCAATTTTTCGGCACTCAGCTTTCTTCACAGTCCAACTCTCACATCCATACATGACCACTGGAAAAACCATAGCCTTGACTAGATGGACCTTTGTTGGCAAAGTAATGCCTCTGCTTTTTAATATGCTATCCAGGTTGGCCATGACTTTCCTTCCAAGGAGTAAGCGTCTTAATTTCATGGCTGCAATCACCACCTGCAGTGATTTTGGAGTACAAAATCTTCACTTTCTGCCATAAGGGTGGTATCATCTGCGTATCTGAGGTTATTGATATTTATCTTGGCAACCTTGATTCCAGCTTGGGCTTCACCCAGCTGAATGTTTCTCATGATGTATTCTGCATATAAGTTGAATAAGCAGGGTGACAATATACAGCCTTGACATATACCTATTCCTATTTAGAACCAGTCAGTTGTTACATGTTCAGTTCTACCTGTTGCTTCCTGAATTGCATACAGGTTTCTCTAGAGGCAGGTCAGGTGGTTTGTTATTCCCATCTCTTTCAGAATTTTCCACACTTTATTGTGATCCACTCAGTCAAAGACTTTGGCATCGTCAGTAAGGCAGAAATAGATGTTTTTCTGGAACTCTCTTGCTTTTTCAATGGTCCAGCGAATGTTGGCAACTTGATCTCTGGTTCCTCTGCCTATTCTCAAACCAGCTAGAACATCTGGAATTTCATGGTTCACATATTGCTGAAGCGTGGCTTGGAGAACTTTGAGCATTACTTTGCTAGCGTGTGAGATGAGTGCATTTGTGTGGTAGTTTGACCATTCTTTGGCATTGCCTTTCTTTCAGATTGGAGTGAAAACTGACCTTCTCCAGTCCTATGGCCACTGCTGAGTTTTCCAATTTTACTGGTATGTTGAGTGCAGCATGTTCACAGCATTGTCTTTTAGGATTTGAAATAGCTTTCCTGGAATTCCATCACCTCCATTAGCTTTGTTCATAGTGATGCTTCCTAAGTCTCACTTGACTTCTCATTCCAGGATGTCTGGCTATAGGTGAGTGATCACACCATTGTGATTGTCTGGGTCGTGACGATCTTTTTTGTACATTTCTGTGTATTCTTGCCACCTCTTTTAAATATCTTCTGTTAGTTCCATACCATTTCTGTCCTTTATTCTCCCATCTTTGCATGAAATGTTCCCTTGGTATCTCTGATTTTCTTGAAGAGGTCTCTAGTCTTTCCCATTCTGTTGTTTTCCTCTATTTCTTTGCACTGATCACTGAGGAAGGCTTTCTTATCTCTCCTTGCTATTCGTTGGAAGTCTGCATTCAAGTGGGTATATCTTTCCTTTTCTCCTTTGCCTTTCACTTTTCTTCTTTTCACAGCTACCTGTAAGGCCTACTCAGACAGCCATTTTGGATTTTTTGCATTTCTTTTTCTTGGGGATGGTCTTGATCCCTGTCTCCTCTGCAATATCATGAACCTCTATCCATAGATCATCAGGGACTCAATCAGATCTAGTCCCTTAAGTCTATTTCTCACTTCCACTGTATAATGGTAAGATATTTGATTTAGGTCACACATTAGTGGTTTAGTGGTTTTCCCTACTTTCTCCATTTCAGTCTGAATTTGGCAATAAGGACTTCATGATCTGAGTCATAGTCAGCTCCTGGTCTTGTTTTTACTGACTGTATAGAGCTTCTCCTTCTTTGACTGCAAAGAATATAAATCAATCTGATTTCAATGTTGGCCATCTGGTGAGGTTCATGTGTAGTCTTCTCTTGTGTGATTTGAAGAGGCTCTTTGCTCTGACTAGTTTCTTCTCTTGGCAGAACTCTATTAGCCTTTTCCTTGCTTCATTCTGTACTCTAAAGCTAAATTTGCCTGTTGCTCTGGGTGTTTGACTTATTACTTTTGTATTCCAGTCACCTATAATGAAAAACTCATCGTTTTGGGGTATCAGTTGTAAAAGGTCTTGTCGGTCTTCATAGAACCGTTCAACTTCAGCTTCTTTAGTGTTGCTGGTCAGGGCATAGACTCGGATTACTGTGATATTGAATGGTTTGCCTTGGAAATGAAGAGAGATCATTCTGTCGTTTTTGAGATTGCATCCAAGTACTGTGTTTCGGACTCTCTTGTTGACTGTGATGGGTACTCCATTTCATCAGAGGGATTCTTGGCCACAGTAGTAGACACAGTGGTCATGTGAGTTAAATTCACCGGTTCCAGTCCATTTTAATTCACTGATTCCTAAACGTCGATGCTCACTCTTGCCATCTCCTCTTTGACCACTTCCAATTTGCCTTGATTCATGGACCTAACATTCCAGATTCCTATGCAATATTGCTCTTTACAGCATCGGACCTTACTTCTATCCCCAGTCACATCCACAACTGTGTGTTGTTTTTGCTTTAGCTCCATCTCTTCATTTTTCTGGATTTATTTCCCTGCTGATCTTCAGTAGCATTTTGGGTGTCTACTGACCTGAGGAGTTCATCTTTTAATGTCTTAACTTTTTGTCTTTTCATCCTGTTCATGGATTTCTCAAGGTAAGAATACTGAAGTGGTTTGCCATTCCCTTCTCCAGTGGACCACAATTTGTCAGAACTCTCCACCATGACCTGTCCATCTTGGGTGGCCCTACACAGCATGGCTTAGTTTCATTGAGTTAGACAAGACTGTGGTCCTGTGATTAGACTGGTTAGTTTTCTGTGATTGTGGTTCCAGGCTGTCTGCCCTCTGATGCCCTCTCTCAGCACCTGTCATATTACGGGGGTTTCTCTTACCTTGTACAGCTGTGCAGTGCTGGAGCAGCGAGCAGCTGGGAGGAGATACCCCACGTCCAGTGCCCAGGAGGAGATACCCCAAGTTCAATGTCAGGAGTAGTGACTGTGACTTGCTGGAGCAGCCGTGAAGAGATACCCCACGTCCAAGGTAAGAGAAAGTGGCCAAGGTCATGAAAAAGGTAGTGACTTAATCTCAGGACCAAGATCAGTTCAGTCCTCAGTCCTGTCTGACTCTGTGACCCCATGGGCTGCAGCATGCCAGGCCTCCCTGTCCATCACCAACTCCCAGAGCCTGCTCAAACTCATGGCCATCGAGTTGGTGATGCCATCCAACCATCTCATCCTCTGTCATACCCTTCTCCTTCTGCCTTTAATCTTTCCCAGCATCAGGGTCTTTTCCAATGAGTCCGTTCTTCCCATCAGGTTTCCAAAGTATTGGAGTTTCAGCCTCAGCATCAATCCTTCCAATGAATATCCAGGACTGATTTACTTTTGGATAGACTGGTTTGATCTCCTTACAGTCCAAGGGACTCTCAAGTCTTCTCCCTGACTAACAGGTTTGTGGGCAAAGTAATGTCTGCCTTTTAATATGCTGTTTAGGTTGGTCATAGCTTTTATTCAAAGGAGCAAGTGTCTTTTTTTTTTTTCATTTATTTTTATTAGTTGGAGGCTAATTACTTTACATCATTGCAGTGGGTTTTGTCATACATTGAAATGAATTAGCCATGGATTTACATAGCAAGTGTCT